CTCTTCCTATGTAAATAGTGGACTGAGCAGGGAGGAAACTGAAAGATGTTCATTCAACAAATATTTACTAAGCACATATTAGATGCTAGGCACTGTGATAAGGGTACAAAGGTGAGCAATACAGCCATGGACTGTGCCCTCATGAGGTATGTAATTACCAACTGTTACGTCGCAAACATGAGGAATTATGGGAGCTGGAGTCTGGGAAGAGTTATTTGAGGAAATAGCATTCAAATTAAGTACTCAAGAATGAGTAGAAGTTAAGTAGGTAAAGTGAAGGGAAAGCAGGAAACAGGTGCAAAGGCCCTGACTTGGAAGGGGACCTGCCAGGCAGGTTAGAATGAAGTTGTCAATGTGGTGAGAGCACAGAGAGGGAGCAAGTGAGGTGCGGCTCAATTCAGTTGAACAAACAGTAATGACAGTCCAGTGTTTGACAGACGATAAGATAACGCTGAGGTGGGCAAGGGACTAGATCATGCAGGGTCTCAAAGGTCACATGTAGAATGCATTTTTATCCTAAGAATGGAAAGCTATTGTGAGATTTTTAAGCCTAAGTTTGTGTTTTCTGGACTATGAATAGAGAAGAGTGGAGGGATGCAGAAGTGGGTATGAGGTAAAGTAGCAATTGCAGTAACCCTGTTGGAAGACTATAAAAATGGGAAGAAACAGAATCAAGGGATATTTACAAGTGTAAAACTTAAACAGATGGGATTTGGCAACTGAGTGAGGTTTCGACTTCCTGCAACTGGAGGAGTACTAGGTATAGAAGGAAAGCTGATGAGGAAAACATGCTGAGTTGGGGTGTTTTTGAGACACCCAAGTCGGAATGTCTATCAGGTAGCTCAGAAGAGAGATCTGGAAGGCACCAGTAACTGAAGCTGAGTGGGGACACAATCCTAGAAAAATGTCTGAGAAAAAAGGGGCCCTAGAGAAACCTTTAGATGTAAAGGCTGGAAGCAGGTGAACCTCAAAGGAGGCTATAAAGCTGTGGTGAAAGTAGCAGTAGAACCACGAATGGAATCACAAACACTAGTCAATAGTACCAAATGCTACTGAGTAGCATGATGGGGACCAGTCAATAGTACCAGATCTACTGAGAAGTGAAGTAAAATGAGGACTGGGAAATCATCACTGAATTCAGGGATATGAGTCATATCCTTGGTGGGCCAAGGTGACCTCATCAAGAATTTCAACACAGTAAAGATTGTAGAAGTCAAAACAGACGCGGTGGAGGAATGGGAATGCAGACAGCCACAGTATCCTACTGTTTCAGGAAGTTAAGCTGTAAATTGGAAAACAATAGGATAGTAGTTGGAAGGGAAATAAGGTAGTGGTTTGTTTGTTGTAACAGGGCAGTCTTTAGCATGTTTGAACAATGGTGAGAATATAGCAAAATAGGAAAAAGTCAGAGATTCCCAAAGGACTAGGATTCAGAGCAGGAATAGGCATTGGCTTTAAGAGACATGCTTGTCCTATTTAGATGGAGGGAAAGAGAATGATGCAGATATAAGCGGGTGACCAAGTTTTGTTGCAACATTTTGTGGGAACTCCTGAGAGCTTCTACTTTTACCTATGAATTAAAAAGTAAAAAAAGTAAAAAATTACCTGCAGAAAACTAAAGGGAATAGTGAGGGTAGTAAGAGGCTTAAGAATATTGATCTGGGAGTGCCTGGGTGGCTCAGTGGGTTAAAGCCTCTGCCTTCGGCTCGGGTCATGATCCTGGGAGGGAGCCCCGCATCCATCATCCATCGGGCTCTCTGCTCAGCGGGGAGCCTGCTTCCTCCTCTCTCTGCCTACTTGTGATCTCTGTCAAATAAATAAATAAAATCTTAAAAAAAAAAAAAGAAGTATTGATTTGGAATGGTCATTGCAGGGACCAGCAGAAACTGGAAAAATCTAGTGGGATTATAGGAGTTGAGTCTTGATTTGACCCAGGTAACCATGAATTCAGTCTTATAAATTTGCTCTGTAGTGATTTCCTTGGGCTTTTAGCTGTCCAAATTCAAACACAGTCAAATGTCTCATTTTATCTGAGTCCAATAAAGAGATGACAAAGACATTTAGCCTGTTCCGAGAAGGAATGGAATTTAAGTTGGACAGGATTCTTACAACAAAAGGCATTAATGCAGGCTGCCTGGGTGGCTCAGTTGGTTAAGTGGCTGCCTTCGGCTCCTGGGATCAAGCCCCACATTGGGCTCCCTGGGATCAAGCCCCACATTGGGCTCCCTGGGATCAAGACCCACATTGGGCTCCCTGCTCAGCTGAGAGCCTGCTTCTCCCTCTCCCTCTGCCTACTTGTGCTCTGTCAAATAAATAAATAAATAAATAAATAAATAAATAAATAAATACGTTAATGGAAATAAGGTAGAAATCAATAGCTTGAATGCTCCAGTGAAATCAAAGAATAGTCAAGGACATATCAATAAGCAAAGCAGAAGGAATGTAGTCAGTAAATAAGATGCTGGTAATAGTGTTTTAAAAGATGGAGCAGTTTGGGGTAATGACAATGGCCAGGACATAACTAAGGGTGTGGTTAGCTAAGACAAGGAAGACTGAGACTGAGCCGAGGAACTAAGAAACTGAACTACTGAATGGACTGTCCAGTAACATTAAAGCATCAAGTTACAGGAAGACCAAGGGCTACCTATTTCAAGGAAAGCATTAGTTACTAAGGACAAGTAATGGGAGAAGGTGGTATAGTTCAATATACTCAAAGGAATCAGACTTTGCAAAGGAGTAAGCAGTTAAGTTCTGAAGCCACAATGGCAAGAACACCAACTCTGTCTCCAGTATGTATTTGTGATAAGAGATACAACTTTAACATTTATTCTTGTGTTGTGCTTAAAATGTTACACTGCTTTCATTACACCAATGGATATCACTTTATGGCAAGACCTGAAGGGGCCATCAGTGACTACCGGAGATGAATAACAACAGTAGGGTTCTTCTAAGTACCGAACATGTTTATAAAGAGAAAAGAAGAGGTTAAAAACTTAAGGGATTAACTAATGGATTACACTGAGGGATACTTGCTTTTCCAAGCCTAGGGACAGGCTCGGTGCAGATAAGCAAGCAAGATAAACTCTGGAAATTCAGAGAACATAGCCTCTAGAGTCAAGACAGATCTTGTTCTTAGCCCTTCTCCAGCAAGTAGTAGTTAAGTGACATGGAAACAGAAATAATTTACAATGGAAATTTACTAGAAGGATACACACAAATGTCCATATAGAAGAGTCCTCCCACCAGCATCATAGTATTCCAGGTCCCCATTCCCATCTTGGAATTGTTAAGTTCATAAGCTGTTTTAGCTGTAGTTATTTACCAAGGAGAGAACTTTATTGGTATGCACAAAGCCACTCAGTAGGGAAGTTCCTGGTCAGCAACCAATAGGTTCCTAGCAAAACCTTTTGTTCAAGATACAGTAGCTAAAGAGGCAAAAAGCTGTTTGGAGCCACTTTTCTCAAAAGTTAACTATGTATAAGATAGGGTTCTGGTACATTCTGGATTCTTGCTTCCTCATCCTTTAAGTGGAGATAATATCTCTTACTTGTAGCTTTGCTATAAAAAGATGAAGATAAAGCAGGACATGTATCAGTATCAGAACCCATACAAATCGGGTGGCTCAACGGATATTTTGAGTGGCAGACTGGTGTAGTAAAAAGTACATGGATTCTAAAGTCAGATCTGTATCTATAAGGGTGTGCTACTAGAGAATCTCAACTTCCTGATCCACAAAGGGCGGGGGGGAATGTCTGCTCTGTGGGTAGTTTTAAGGAGTTTTTGTTATTATTGTGGGAGCCAATGTCTAAGAACTTCCATTTCCTCTATAAAAAACAAAACATGGTCACCCGATGGGGAACAGCTAAACGTGAAGTGGGAGATAAGGAGAACAGTGAAGGTGTAAAATAATCACCATGGTGATTAGGGGATGAAATACACCAGGAAGCCACAAAGGGTTGCTTGTTGGTAGTGAGGGCTTCGATGAAGTTGGAGACCCTGAATATTTAGTGCCACTCATTACACAGCTGTGTTTTTCTCTAGCAGTCTCAATGGAGGAAAAGAAAAAACAGCTGGAATGATATAAAAAGGACACAACGGAGGCAAGAAAATGCAGTGATGGAGCATAGGTCATTGAGACTGCTGAATACAGAAGTAAATTTCAAAAGGAGGACGATAAAAGAGAGAAGAATAGAGAGGCTCAACATGGAAATAACAGAAAAGAGATAGCAGGAACACAGGGTAGAGGACAGAAGAGTTGAAATTATAGACATGCAGGTAACGATAAAGCAGTCCCAAGGATTTGCTTTATTCCCTTTATCCCCATAACCACCATCATCTACTTCTCCCTTGGGCTTCTGTCCCTCAGGTCTGGCTATATAGCAGAATATGGTCCTCCAAGTTTCCCTTTTCTGACTCTCCTGAAGACAAGCACACACATCTTCTTTGTAAAGGCTTTACCACTCATCCTGGGGTAGACAGAAAATAGTAAGAAAGTAACAACTTGGGATGATGGCTGAAGTTCCAGAACACCCCAAAATTCTTACAGGTTTCATCTCCATTCTGGAGCTACTGACTTTCCGGGAGGCAATGCCTAGAAACCCTGTCTGTAATTTCTTATCTGTTGTCCTTAGTTATCTCCTCCATTCTCTACATCTAGCAGAATTCCTTAGAGTCCACAAAAAGAGTTATGAATGACTGCACACTGGCTCACAAATGAGCCATTTAAGTCAGACAGGTTTAAGTGAAGGAGAGCTAGAAAGAGGTCTCATTTTCTCTGGCATCTGGGCAGAAACCAACTTCCTGTTGATGTCACTAACATTAAAATTTTACCCACAGACCTTGCTATAACCAGGTGCCTAGGAATGTTGAGGTTTTCCTTCTACACACAGACAGCAATTTCTCGACTGCCAGGGCTGAAGCCAATCAATATGTGCTAGCTAACAGAATAAAGGATGATGCCAATAAAGTGGGCAAACCTTCCCCGACCAGGACATAAACCAGAGAGTAAAAGCGGGTTTATTGGCTCCGGAAAAGGAGCAATAGTACCCAGCTCTCAGGTAACCCCTCACTCTATATACAGGCTGCATCCAGCCCAAGGTCCACTGGCTCTTTCAACTTGAGGGTCCATCCAGTGCCTCCCTTCCTGGAGTTGAGAGGGCTAGCTGCCTGATGGTGAGGTTCCGGACTGTTCAGCAGCAACACCTGGCCCAGCTGAGGCAGCCTCGTAGTCTGCGATGCGGCGCTGTACCAGAGCAGGCATGAGCTGCACATAAGCGGCCATGAGGCGGTGGTTGGAATGGATCAGCTTCCCAGCACAGCTGTGCAAACAGGCTTCCTGGATGGAAGACAGGGTGAAGCAGAGGCCAAAGGTGTCCTGTCGGGTCGGTCTCCTTCCTTCCCATCCCTAGCCTAGGGGTAAGGGTCGTGGAAAGGCCAGAGCCAGAGGCAGGGGAAGTCGGGGTTGGGAACAGTCTACCGCTAACCTCCCTACAGAGTTCCCCACCTAACCTCCTCAGCATCCAAAGCTCGGTGGTGCAGGCTGGGCACGCAGCGCTGGAAGCAGAGTTCGGTCATCCGATTGTAGACCAACAGGAAGTCCCGCAACTAGGAGAAAAGGGGACAAAGAACTCAGCAATGAGGGGGCACCTCGAGGCCTCGTTGCTCGAGTTTCCCAGGACCGCGCGCCACAGCCCGACGTTCCCAGCCCTCCGAAGTACAGCGAAATGGGCAAGGATCCTAGCTGAACCTATGGCCCTGCAGCGACTTAGCACCCACTCACGTTCCTCAGTTGCTGCTGCTGCTGCTGTGGCTCCATCGCGCCACCAGCCCTCATACATCACTTCCTTACAGCCGCTCGGTAACGCCCCGGAAGTGATCTCTCCCTGCTCCCCAGGGACTGAGGGGGTTGGCTCAAGGATCGCCATGCCCCCGCTAAACGTCATTTCCGCCCTTATAATCTGCGACGTGGCCGGCTTCTTCTGCCCGGGAGGGGACGTCACTTCCGCCGAGTTCCTGACCTGCTCCTAGGATCGCGACGGGAACTGGAGCCCGAGGTCCCCGCGCGGCCCGGGCCTGGCGCCCTGAGGGGAAGAGCGGCCCGGCCGGAGGTGAGAAGGACACACCTGGGCGAGGGGAAGTTGAACGCACGAACCTGCCCTAAGGGAAGATGCCACTGAGCCCTGGGGAAGGATGAGGACACACCTGATGCCCAGGTGTATGGGGGGGGCGGGTACTAACACACCTGGGGGACATAACTGACTTTGGAAGGGATCACTATGTTCTGGGAAAAAGAGGCTTTTCCCAGAGACCGAGAACATACACCAACTAATTCAACTAAGGCCGGGGGTGGGGGGCCGAGGAAGAGGAGGTGCATGGGATAGAAGAGGGGGAGACCACCTGAGGGAAAGGGGAAGAAACACTAAGGGAGTGTGAAAAGCCAAGCAATGGAGAACATACCCGAATGGGAGGAGTAAGCTCCTGAGCTTTGGAAAGGGGTTAACCTGGTGGGGGGGAAACAGCTGCATGGGGTAGGTTCCAAGACAGCACAGACCTTATCTCTCTTGGTCACTGCTGTGACCTCAAATAATGCATGACACATAGTAGGCACTTACCAAATATCTGTTGAATGACTGAATGCATGAATGATCACCTGAGTCCTGGTGGGGTTGAGGGTTCATGAGAAGACACCTGGGGCCTGGGTGTGCATGTGGAAAGATAACACACCTTGGAGAGAAGAAATACATATCCATAAGAAGAAAGGAGTGGGGGCCCAACCCTAGAATACTCCAGTCTTGGGACAACCTCTAAAATCTCTGAAATGGTGGGGGAGACCTTTCTTTCTGGAGTACTGGCCAGTTTCCAGAACTGTCTGTGTTGGGCTTTGCAGGGCACTGGGGTGGAGACTTTGACTCCAGTCCCTTCCCTAGCCATGACCGACGGGATCCTAGGGAAGGCAGCCACAATGGAGATCCCCATCCACGGGAACGGTGAAGCTGGGCAGCTTCCTGAGGATGATGGGCTGGAGCAGGTGCTTCTGTTTGATTCTTCTCCATATTGTTTCAATTTAGGAGTCCCAAATAATAAGCCCTGGGCTCTTACCCCATTCCATTAGTTTTCCCCTAACTTACTAATTCCCGCCAATCTTTTTACAAATCTTCATTCTGATTCCATGCAGACTTCCCTTGTGTGCTCTCTCTGTGATGCTTCAATCCAAGCTTGTTCTCACCCCCCAAATGCTTCAGCTGCCCCAATGTTCCTGAAGCCCCCCTCTTCTCTGGCCTATAGGACCTCCAGCAGGTGATGGTGTCAGGACCCAACCTCAATGAAACCAGCATTGTGTCTGGTGGCTATGGGGGCTCTGGTGATGGACTCATCCCCACAGGTATGAATGATCAGGACAGGAAGCTTGTTTGGAGAGAGGGTAGGGTAATGGTTTGGGGGAGTATAGGGTATGTCTAAGATAGCTTGAAGTATGTTTGGAGATACTGGGAACTTCTGCTAGTATGAGACCTATGGACTGTCCTTAGCTAGAGCCCAAGGCTAGAGCCCAGGGTTGTCCAGCTGCTCCCACTTGCCATTTAGCCCCTAAGATGTGACCATTTTTCCTTTCTCTGCTGCAACTACCCGAATCACGTTAAGAACTCTGTTTCACAGACATTCTCCCTGCTCTGGAGCTTGAGACTGATTTGGAACTCTGACGCTTCTCAGAGTTTTGGTTTAGACTCTAAAGTTTAGAGAAGCAAATATTCTTGAATCTCACACTGACTCGGATTCCACATGAGGATGTCAGTGAGGTTTCTTATTATCAGGACCCACCGTCCTTGACCTCCCACCCCATTCTTAGCATATTTTCTTCCATCTTCTCTGCCCCTGTACACCAGCAACTCCCTTCCCCCACCCCAGTCCCCATCACCACCTCAGAAGGAGGCCATATGTATATTGGAATTTGGGTCTCAGGGCGCAAGATATGAGTTCTGTTCCTAGTGAGTAGGAGAATCTCATTGTCTCTAGTTTCTGCTACTTCAGTAAAGTCATTTTCAAATGCTGGCTGGGAGGTATGGGTGGACCCACAGAAATGTCTGGTTATATCTGAGAGAGGCTGGTGTCAGAGAACTTGGTTCTTTAGGGTCTGGCCGCCATCCATCTCACAGTACCACTCCTGCTGGCCCTGGAGATGAGGTGGCTCGGGGCATCGCTGGAGAGAAGTTTGACATCGTCAAGAAATGGGGCATCAACACATACAAGGTGGGATTTAAGCACTTTTCCCTTCTCCCACACTTTCCCTGGGTACCTTTACCCCATATTCCAGATTCCACTATCCCATCTATGGCTGAGACTAGGAGTGTGGGGATGCTAGGGTCAATACCTGTTGGGGGGAGGGGCAGGGTGCTAGGGTCTCTGACCTATTCCCCCACTTCCCAATCAGTGCACAAAGCAGCTGTTATCAGAGCGATTTGGCCGAGGCTCCCGGACTGTGGACCTGGAGCTAGAGCTGCAGATTGAGTTGCTGCGTGAGACGAAGCGCAAGTATGAAAGTGTCCTGCAGCTGGGCCGGGCACTGACAGCCCACCTCTACAGCCTGCTGCAGACTCAGCATGCACTAGGTGACGCCTTTGCTGACCTCAGCCAGAAGTCCCCAGAGCTTCAGGTGCCTTGGTCAGGCCAAAGAGGGTGGGGGGACTGGGCCCGGGCCCTCCCAGGCAGTCAGCCCTCAGCCTCCCTCCCTCCCTCCCTCCTGCAGCCCAGAGGGAGAACCCCTCCAGGGTAGGCCCAGCCCTACCCCCAGCAGCACTCACCTGTGGAGGCAGCCTAAGGGTTTGTACAGAGGTTCAGAAGTTGGAGGGGTGGGGGAGGCGGCACACTAGATGCCTCACAAGTAACCCTTCTCTGCATCAGTGCTCGGCCTAATCAGAGCCCTTCCCTTGCCTGCTGCACTAGCTTTCCCTGTTCTCGTCCTGTGAACTTATATGAGAACCCCACTCCCACATTCCTACCCCAGCCATCCCTGGGGTGGCCCCACTAACTTTCTGGCTAAGAGAGCCTTGCTGGAGGCAGTCCTTGGTTGTTCCAGTTTCCATGGCTGTTTCCTCCATGGGGAGGAGGGGAATAAGGGCCCTGTAGCTTTAGTCAGGTAGGAACTGTTGCTCAAGGCCTGTCCTCCCTTCTGCCCTCAGGAGGAATTTGGCTACAATGCAGAGACACAGAAGCTGCTGTGCAAGAATGGAGAGACCCTGCTAGGGGCTGTGAACTTCTTTGTCTCTAGCATCAACACATTGGTCACCAAGACCATGGAAGACACGCTTATGACTGTCAAGCAGTATGAGGCTGCCAGGTGTGGGCACCAGCAGGGCCCAGGGTTTTGGGAATTGACTGGCCTGGGTGGAAGTTTGAGCTTTGGGGTCATAAGAATTGAGAAAGGATAGGAGAATATGTGTGGAGGACACAGGGGGTGGAGACCAGCCTGTATCACCCCTTCCCCAGGCTGGAATATGATGCCTACCGAACAGACTTAGAGGAGCTGAGCCTAGGCCCCCGGGATGCAGGGACGCGTGGTCGACTCGAGAGTGCCCAGGCTACTTTCCAGGCCCATCGGGACAAATATGAGAAGCTGCGGGGAGATGTGGCCATCAAGCTCAAGTTCCTGGAAGAAAACAAGGTGCCAACCCCACCCCTTTGTCCCCAGCCCACCTTCCCATCTGTAACACTGACCTTCTACCCCCAAGACCCTCCCCATTACTGGATGGGGGAAATACAGCCTGGCCAAGGGGTGGGATCTTCCCCCAGCCCCTTCAACTCCTGGACCTTTCTAGTCACCGGCCCTCCAATCCCTGGCCCTTTTCTGTTGGAGGATTTGGCTCTTGATTCCAGGAACATAACTGGGAAAAATCATTCCCTGAGCTGGGGCACCAGAACCCCAGGCCCAGCAAATCAAGTCAGGTTTCTCCCATCAGACTGACCCTTATTCTTTGACTCCCTTAGTAGAGGTCAGCCCCCACCCTAAAAACACCATCAGAGCAGAATCCATGTACCCCTGGTCTGGGCTCAGGCTCAAGAAGGGCATCTGAGTCCAGTCTCAGCTGACCCTGCTGGACCCCCAGATCAAGGTGATGCACAAGCAGCTGCTGCTCTTCCACAATGCCGTGTCAGCCTACTTTGCTGGGAACCAGAAACAACTGGAGCAGACCCTGCAGCAGTTCAACATCAAGCTGCGGCCTCCAGGAGCTGAGAAGCCCTCCTGGCTAGAGGAGCAGTGAGCTGCTCCTAATCAAACCTGGCTATCAAGAAGGACATTGGGAGAGGCAGTCCCAGGGTGGGGGAGATTGGACATGGGACATCCCTTGCCACCTGCCCTCTGGCTTGGGTTCCCTTTCCCTGGCTGGGGTCTGACACCAGTTTTGCCCATACTGCTGTGGGTAGGGAGGGGGCTTGCAGGCCCAGCAGCTGCTGTCCTGTCCTTTATCTTCCTGGCCACTGGGCTTCATTCCCAGATCTTTTCCTTCACTCCACAGCCAAAGGCTATGACAGAACCACTCCCTGGCCAATGGCATTACTCCTCAGGCCTGTCCCCAGCTCCTGGGGTGTGCCCCCTGACCAATGGCAGGGCCTCAAAAGGCCCTGTCAGCCGATGGCAGCTCTTCTTGGGCTCCCCTGGGCCAATGATGTTGCCTCCAGTACCCTTTGTCCCTCCTCTATGTGTCCCCATTGCAGAGAAGGGGACTGGGACCAAAGGGGTGGGGATAATGGGGAGCCCCATTTCTGGCCCTGCATCCAAATGGGCTTCCTCTCACCTTCCCACCCAGTTTAATTGTGCTTAGAGCCCTGGAAGATTGGGACCTAGCACTAGGAATAAACCTTTCATAAAAGCAGGC